GGCTGGATTCGAACTCACCACCTTAGGTGTGTGTGGCTGGTGCCTTAGCCGCTTGAGCCACAGGCGCTGAGCCGTTTATTTCTATTTTTATTTATTTGTATTTATTTATGAGACAGAGTCTATGTTGCCCTGGGTAGAGTGCTATGGTGTCATAGCTAACAGCAACCTCAAACTCTTTGGGCTTGAGCAATCAACCCTCTTACCTCAGTCTCCTGAGTGGCTGAGACTACAGGCACCTGCCACTATGACAAGGGAGAAGGGAAGTGTGGGAGAGGTGTGTGTGTGGAGGGGTATCTCACTCTTGCCCAGGCTGGTCTTGAACTCCTGAACTCAAGCAATCCACCTGCCTCAACCTCCCAGAGTGCTAGGATTACAGGCCTGAGCTCACCTCTCAGGTCTTTATTTATTTATTTATTTTTTTTTTTACCACCATACAATATATCCTGACATATGTTTATATGTTTAATGTTAATAGAAACTGCCAAATAGATTTTTTAACTGCTTATACATTTTATACTGAAGCTGGGCCAAATTTAGGTGGTTTCATTGCAGGACGAATTTTCTTTTTTAATAATCAGTGATTGAAAATTGAATACTTTTGCTCCTGTGGAGGTAGCAGATTCAGAAAAAGGCTTGCCTGTTAAGTATGTTGATTTAGAGAGTTGCTCCTCAAAATACTGATTTCCCAAGTCCCACTTTGGAGATAGATTCTGATTTACTCATTCACCAATAGACACAGGGAGTCAGCATGTTTTAAAAACTCCACAGGTGATCTTACTTGCCCACATATAGGTTTCAGTGCTTCCTCCTATTTGGAATTAAATATTTAAATTGTGGAACAAGTCATTTCCTGCCCCCCCCCAACATTTTGTTTTGAAAATTTTCAAACATAGAGCAAAGTTGAAAAAAATTTTATGTATATACCTCTATCCATCCCACTCTAATTTTTTTGATGTATTTCCAAGTTGTACTTATTAGTTCATTGTCCCCTAAACAGAACAAATACTTTAATTTTGGTTTTGTTCACAAAAAAAATGAAGTAAGATGGTTTAGCGGATGGAGGTTCAGGGAATTTAGCTATAGGGGAAAATGACATTTAGGTTTGGGGTTGGAAGGCATAGGAACAGTGGGGTTAAAAGGCACAGGAACAAGGTTAAGTACAGCAGTCCCCACTTATTCATGATCTCCCTTTTCTTGGTCTCAGTTATTTTCAGTCAACTGGGGTAAAAAGAAATTAAACAGAAAATTCAGAAATAAATAGTTCATAAGGTTTTTGTTGTTTTGGGAGGGGGGTTGTTTGTTTTGAGGTGAAGTCTTACTCTGTCACCCTGGGTTGAGTACTATGGCGTCATAGCTCACAGCAACCTCAAACTCTTGAGCTCAAGCCATCCCCTTGCCACAGGCTCCTGAGCACAATGCTGGGCTAGTTGTTCTATTTTTAGTATAGACAGGGTCTTGCTCTTGCTCAGGCTGGTCTCCAAGTGGTCCACTTGCCTTAGCCTCCCAGAGTGCTAGGATTACAGGTGTGAGCTACCGCACCTGGTCCAGTTAATAAGTTTTATATTGCTTGCCATTCTGAGTATCATGATGAACTGTCTGGAGTCCTGCTTTGGCCTGCCCAGAAAGGAATTATCCTTTTGTCTACAGTATCTACACTGTCTATGTTACCCATCCATT